TTCTTTACCATGACAAATTAACTGAAGTTATATAAAAGATTCGGGTGTTCTTTACCATGACAAATTAACTGAAGTTATATAAACGAATCGGGTGTTCTTCACCATGACAGATTAACTAAAGTTATATGAAAGAATCGGGTGTTCTTTACCATGACAAATTAACTAAAGTTGTATGAAAGAATCGGGTGTTCTTTACCATGACAGATTAACTATAGTTATATAATAGAATCGGGTGTTCTTTACCATGACAAATTAACTAAAGTTATATAAACGAATCGGGTGTTCTTCACCATGACAGATTAACTAAAGTTATATAAAAGATTCGGGTGTCCTTTACCATGACAAATTAACTAAAGTTATATAAAAGATTCGGGTGTTCTTTACCATGACAAATTAACTAAAGTTATATGAAAGAATCGGGTGTTCTTTACCATGACAAATTAACTAAAGTTATATAGAAGAATCGGGCGTTCTTTACCATGACAAATTATCTAAAGTTATATGACAGAATCGGTTGTTCTTTACCATGACAGATTAACTATAGTTATATAAAAGAATCGGGTGTTCTTTACCATGACAGATTAACTATAGTTATATAAAAGATTCGGGTGTTCTTTACCATGACAAATTAACTAAAGTTATATAGAAGAATTGGGTGTTCTTTACCATGACAGATTAACTATAGTTATATAATAGAATCGGGTGTTCTTTACCATGACAGATTAACTAAAGTTATATAAAAGATTCAGGTGTTCTTTACCATGACAGTTTAACTAAAGTTATATAAAAGAATCGGGTGTTCTTTACCATGACAGATTAACTATAGTTATATAGAAGAATCGGGTGTTCTTCACCATGACAGATTAACTATAGTTATATAAAAGAATCGGGTGTTCTTCACCATGACAGATTAACTAAAGTTATATAAAAGAATCGGGTGTTCTTTACCATGACAAATTAACTAAAGTTATATAAAAGATTCGGGTGTTCTTTACCATGACAAATTAACTAAAGTTATATGAAAGAATCGGGTGTTCTTTACCATGACAGATTAACTGAAGTTATATAAAAGAATCGGGTGTTCTTTACCATGACAAATTAACTAAAGTTATATAAAAGAATCGGGTGTTCTTTACCATGACAGATTAACTAAAGTTATATAAACGAATCGGGTGTTCTTTACCATGACAGATTAACTAAAGTTATATAAAAGAATCGGGTGTTCTTTACCATGACAGATTAACTAAAGTTATATAAAAGAATCGGGTGTTCTTTACCATGACAGATTAACTAAAGTTATATAAAAGAATCGGGTGTTCTTTACTATGACAGATTAACTAAAGTTATATAATAAAAGAATCCGAAGTTCTTCAGCTCCTTCTGAGAAGTATATACAGTCAAACGCTAACACAAGACAGTTTAACTACTTACTTTCGAATCCAAAGTGTTTCAGGAAGAACAACGGGTAGTACGTGTGTATGCTCGTCTATAGAAGTGAATCGTGTTATAGACATATATAGAGGATATTGGTCGTTTCTTGTCAAACATGTTTATTTCATAGAGGGCTCTGACAAGATATATATTTTCTTGAGTAGCGCAGCCACGACTGATCATGTCAACCTGTTCAGGTCACGGGATGATATAAACCTGTCATTGAGGCATACTGAAAGTAGTTCTGGCATTACTGTATTATTTCACTCGATTGAAATAGCTTTACTATATTTTCAGCTGCTGCTGCTGATAATGATGGTGGTGATGATAACAATGACGATGAATGTTATAAAAAATATTACACTACCAATTCAGTTTTCTTGAATGACAAATAATACTGAGATAATGTACGTATTCACCATTACCTCTACCTTCCACTTCCTTTTTAAATTCCACTTCCCGCTTTAAAGAAATACTTAATACATTGTGTGTATCATTGTGTTTTCCCTTGTAAGACCAAGCCCCCTCCTCGTCTGTTTACAAGTCTACCCGTTATCGGCTGACATCACAAGTCACCCTGTGAACACCCGACTGCACTAAGCCGCAAATTGGCTGCGTTTGTGTTCACGCTGTTTCCGTAATTAAATATGCCTTTCAGACAGGAGCGCGGCACACTGGCTACCGAAATATAACCTGTCTAATTTGAATTCCTTTATAAACAAAGTAGTTACCGCTATACCGCCCAACAGCGAAACAAATGCGTCATACAGCTCGTGAATAATGTCTTGCGGAACTTGGCGTGTTATAACAGGTATTTAAGTGTATTGAGGTAGAGTGACATTTTCAGGAATAGTTAGTGTACTTTAATTACAAGGAATGTTAAGAGAACGTGAAAAAATAGAGGACATGTGGATTGCTTTAAGTTAAAATGCACACATTAATGTTTCTTTGTGTGTGCTGGGGAGACAGTTTAATTACCCCCCGGGGTATATCTTGCTGCAGCTTCCACCAAATGCAAGTGTGTTTTTTTATGATTTTCTGAAACATGTTCGCGATTACCAACAGTATTAGTTTCGAAGACTTCTTAAAACGAAAGTCCGCTGCCACTGTTAAAATCAAAACGGTCCATGGGAGACAACTCTTGTCTGTAAAAGCGCTCGTAAAATCTATCACCGCGCCCCTAAGTGCGAAAGAAATTGACTTTACTCCGCTTCAAACAATCAACAGTCTTATCACAGTGTGTCAGCTTTATGATAAAGAAAGTCCGAAGTGATACAACTCCGAGATGTTCTCCACTTGACTGAAAACCACGAGCACGGGTATGGTGCTGACATACCAAGATGTGTGTGCACTGAATATCCAATATCCGCCATTGTTATCTGTTCAAGTTAGCACTGGGGGCGGTGGGGTTGCCTAGCGTTCGCTCGTCACGCAGAAGACCCGGTTCGATTCCCGACATCGGTACAATGTGTGAAGCCCATTTCTGGTGTCCCCCGCCGTAATGTTGCTGGAATATTGCTAAAAGCGGCGCAAAACCAAACTCACTCACTCACTTACACATGTGAGCATCATGACCATTCAGAAACAAACATGTTAAATATGAAAGTTTGATTAACATTGGGAGCTGGAATAAAATCACCACTTTATGCTTTGCAAAGTTTTCTAATGTTATTAGAATAACAATCATGTGCTTTCTTTTGGAATCGACGACATCAGCTGGACATTTAAACTGTTAACAGTCTTTACCCGGCTTCATTCTACAGTCTATTGTGCATAATGGTTGGATTATTTCAACAAGCTTTGTTAAAAACCCTACTTTCACTTTGAAATAATCCTTGCCCTGTTCTATTATCTGAAACAGATGCATGATAATAAGATGGCGGTTTAATTAGTGATGTACAAAAAAATCCATTCTGTACAGATGTGTGTGTTTCCGTACAGTGAATGACATATTTTGAGAATACGAAAGTGTATTATACGAGCCATAGGCAAGCATAATAAACATATTTATTTCCTATATTTGATATTTACGGTACGGAAACGGACAAGGGTAAAAGAAACCGCGTGAGAACACAATGTCCAAGTGAACTTCCAGTTTGATCATAAACTGTCACATGACTCACGGTGTCACACTGGCAAACCCATATTTGGAACTTGAGTCAATTGTTTATAAGTGAGTGAGTTCGTAAGTGAATTGGGTTTAACGCCGCTTTGAACACTTTTCCAGTTACATCACGGCGTTTCAGCTTTATGATGGAAGAAAGCCCGAAGCGATGCAGGTCTTAGATGTTTACCACTTTGGTTATCCCCAAGTATTTTAACCCCACCAGCACAGGTATGTTAACCCCACCAGCACAGGTATGTTAACCCCAAAAGCACAGGTATGTTAACTCGACCAGCACAGGTATGTTGAACTCCACCAGCACAGGTATGTTAACCCAACCAGCACAGGTATGTTAACCCCACAGCACAGGTATGATAACCCCACAGCACAGGTATGTTAACCCAACCAGGACAGGTATGTTAACTTCACCAGCACAGGTATGTTAACTTCACCAGCACAGGTATGATAACCCCACAGCACAGGTATGTTAACCCAACCAGGACAGGTATGTTGAACTCCACCAGCACAGGTATGTTAACCCCACCAGCACAGGTATGTTAACCCCACCAGCACACGTATGTTAACCCCACCAGCACACGTATGTTAACCCCACCAGCACAAGTATGTTAACCCCACAACACAGATATGTTGAACTCCACCCCCTGCATATCCCATACAAAGTAAAAAACGGTATGCACGTCATTGCTGCGTGTGACCCTCGTGTGTAATGTACTGCATATGGTGCTGTGTGTGACCTGTGTATACCACTGGCCTTGACCAAAGACAGGACCCAACCAAAGTGTTGCAAATTATTGTTATGTGTGTCTTCAAGTACGTATTTAAACCAATCTGAGGGATGTTTGTTGTTTAACGACGCACTATTCCAGCTATGTGACAGCGGCCAGTAAATAATCGAGTCTGGACCAGACAACCCAGTGGCTGACAGCATGAGCATCGATTGGAATTGAAATAAGATGACATGCATCAACCAAAGCAGCGAGCCTGACCACCCGATCCCGTTAGTCACCTCTTGCAAGCAATGTCGCCTTTTACGGCAAGAATAGGTTGTTGAAGACCTATATATTCTACCCAGGATCTCAATCTGTGTGAATATTTGAACAATAGGCGAGATTTAGCACATATATACTGTAAGAATATTACTAATAATACACCTTCGCCTTTATGCCACTATAGACAATAAATTGATCACTTGTAGCAGTACATCTCTGTGTGTTATTGCACACCTGGAAATACACATGATTAGATAAGTCTTTACAGCTACCCACGTTTTGACAACATGGATTTCAACTATGGTATTTCTTCAGGTATTAAGTAAATAACACTCTGTCATAAATTGGGATTCATTAGTGAAGATGGATTTTGTCGTCGAGTACTTGCAGCAAACACATGCTGATTGTTGTGTGTGGTATGTAACAAAATACAATCGCAAGAGTTACCTCCCTTAGAACAAAATTTCCCTACCAGCAAGGAAGCATGGCTGCCAAATCGGGACAAACTGTCGATCTTACGACCCTTCCTATACAACAGTTAAATCAACTGTCACAACAGCTAGATCAGGTTTGGAATAATATAACTCAATATATAAACATTCCACTTGAATCGTCCTGATCAGAATTGAGCGTAATTGTCATCAATTGAGTGTCACGAAATTATATATGCATGTTTGTCAGTTTGTAAATTTGTGAATAGATGTCAAGTGTTTTAGCTTCAGTCGAGGAGGTAACGATCATTTTGGTGTTAATTGATACCTATATAACCAGTTTAGATAATTAATGTAGAGTTCTTGGTATGAAGAGACCTCATCTAATATGTAATATGATATACACCGGGTAACCAACCCAGGCAACCAAATTTCTTTGCAGTCCCCGAGGTTTGTCATAGCAACCGAGAAACAAGAATTTTAGTCATTATACAGTGTTAAGAGATTACTTAGAAATACAGAATCGTCATTCATCATGTATGTATTAATCTGAAACTGGTATTAATTATGAATGTCTGCGATTTTTATTATTATTTTGTCCTGCCAATCATCATGGTTATTTTATATCAGAGCTCCAGATAACTTTTTGAGCAATTGATTTTTTACTCTAGGGTTTCTATATTAATTGGGTTATTACATTTTTCATTTGGTAACCAATATTGTTTTCACTCATCTCTTCATCACTCTATTGGGTTTTTCCCCGAAATGAGTAAGGAAAAAAAAATGAAATAATGTTTCAGATGTATATAACAGTTCTAAATATAGGCTTGACACAGAAAGTAAATTAGCTCGTAATTGTGTTTCGGAAATTAGCTCCGTTGTACGCATGTTGAAAAAGCTTCATTGGGTATTTATGCGTGCTGGTTTCAAAAATTGAGTTTTCCATTTAATGCATGCATTTCTGTACGCAAGTTAATTGAAAGTAATTGGGTTTGGAATAGTTTGGGGGTATTTTACGCAAATACGCAGCTTATCTGTAGCTCTGTGATATGATAACAATGTGCATGATAAAAGGTTTGAACACTGCATGACATGTACTGCCAAGGTGCATGTATCTCTCTCGCCTTTTCTCACTATACATCAGTGATAGATGTCAACTTATCTGTCTTTATTCGCATGATTGAAGCTAGCTGCATTTTGTCACACACTCTGCACCCTATCATGTGTTGAACATTTTTTTCTTGTCTTTTGCAGGAGGTAGAGTTTTTTACCAATTCTATGAACCAACTGAAGCTGGCACAGGGGAAATTTGTCGAGTCGCAGGAGTGTCTGAACAAGGCCACACCCGACAACCTCAACAAAGACATCTTAGTGCCTCTCACAAGTTCTGTATCCTTGTCATTCATGTTGTTAATGTTGTGAACTGTACCAGCCCTGTCCAGGTTTAGTATGACATTCCACATCAGTAATTGCTATCTAAAGTGCATATGAAGATGTGGCGAGCTCTCTGCATTATCATCCCATGGTGTAAAAACAGAGAAACAATTGCAGTCCAGGGCCCCTTTCCACAAGGCAATCGTAGGGCTACGATTGTCGTAAATCTATGTTAAAGTATGGGAGTTATGATCGTCTTAGAGCTACGTTTGCGTTGTGGAACTGGGCCCTGTATGATAATTTCAGTTTTGAAAAACATTCACGTAGTCAAATGTGTCATATGTCAGATCATTAACTGATCATGCTGTAATTACTGAGTCTGATAATTTATGGCTATCCAACAATTTTGCATGTGTGTGTAGTAGTTGAACACAAGGAATAATAAGCATGATAAGTGCTTGAGGTTCTTGAGGAGTTTTCATATATGCATAACTGATGTACTTTGCTTTTGAAGTGCATGGACTGTTTGTGAGATTCAAGGATTCAGTGTATTCTCCTTGACCCTATGCTAGATGTATGTGCCTGGGGAGCTGAGTGATGTCCAGAACGTCCTGGTCGATATTGGGACAGGCTACTATGTAGAAATGGTAGGTACTCCCTTCAGGGATGGGCCTGCCTTTGAAGCGTGTGTGTGTGTGTGTGTGTCTGTCTGTCTGTGTGTCTGTGTGTCTGTGTGTGGGAGGGGGGTTTGGGGAGGGGGCACAGGTTGTCCATGAGTCTTAATTGTTGTGCTGTGATGTCAAAAATGGAGCCAGGATCTGCTGATCGTTGGTTTGAATCCTAAATTGGTCCTGATTATGATCCTAGGTTTGTCAGCGCCATGTCCTGCTTGTGGGTTTCACCAACAAACTGTGTTTATGACCTTCGTCACTGAAACATTGTTCAAAGTGCCATAAGATCAAACTCAGTTTAAAATACATTGGGATTCTGGAGTAGAATCTGCAAAAGCTCACAGAAGCCTGGAAAAACAAGGAAGTGTTTTACACTGTGAAAAAAGACTATTTTGTACATCTACTTAAACTGTACATCTTATAATCCCTTATCTGTTTCAGACAATAGACCAGGGCAAGGATTATTTCAAGAGGAAAGTTGAGTTCTTAACAAAACAAATTGAAAAAATCCAGCCCATTATGCAGGAAAAGTATAGAATGAAACAAGGTGAGGATTTATTTGTTTGTTGTAACATCACCAAATGTTGCAGAGCATAATATGTTGTCGACTGGTAGGGCTGTATATTGGCAAAACAATTGTGATAAATTTAACTCAGCATGGTCATTCACCAACAATGTCAGAGAAAAACCGAGTGACCGTTTGACAACACATTTATCTAACTCACAGAATTATAGTCTGTTTATTGATACTGTTTTCATCAGGTTGTGGCAAGCCACACCTTTTTATTTATATTGATAAATATCTGTATCACAGTAAAGAAGAGAGAACACGTATTTTATCATTGTGACTGTTGCCATAAATATGCCATACATTTTGTACAAAGGGCCTGAGGCCTGTACTGTACTGAATAAAGATCTGATGTATACCTTTTACACACATCAAAAGTTATCACCCGGCATTACAATTGGATGTGCTCGTTTAAGCTAGCTAAACTACATGTGATAGGTGTTCCATTTTGAGAAACTACAATCATATCCTTGTAATTGTTTTGGTAAGGCCAGGCGTTTTATATTTTTCAGAGTACGGACCTGCCGACTCTAATTTTTTAGAAAGTGTAAAAAATAAATAAATCAGATTTCCATTTTTTTCCCCCCGCCGATAGCCACGTAGTCAGTTATTTTATTTGTTATCATCACCTTTTAATAAATAACATATGAATTTGCCATGGTAAACTAGTAAAGAGATACATAATCAATCTTTGTTGATCACGAAGCCGAACATGAATAGCCTCCCTTGACAATTGTCCGTGTTGTAAGTGGTAGAACTTTTATTGTAAAAAGGGGCTTTATCATCACAAATGACGGTCTTTTGAGCACAGAATATGTTCATAAAGTATGCCAGAGGCATTCTGCATTAAAAAAAAATGCATCTGGCTTTTTAAATTTTTTTGTTACCCCGGTATTCCTCCTCCAACCCTTGACTTTGGGCTGAAAAATCCGTAATCCTAAAAATGAAAAAAGCCTGGCCTAAGAAGTCAGTGTTTCCAAATGGGGTATATATGAAAGATGTACCTGAGCTGTCAGTGGGGTATACATGGAAATAAATAATCAATCAGAAATTAGAATCCTAATGCAAGGTGAGAGAGACAGGATATGAGTCATATTGCAACCATAGTACATGGGTACGGATATGTATCATATCGCGACCCCATCGTATCGTTACACCTCTTGTCCAAATACAATTTCCTGGGGGTCAAATACTCAATAACACCCTGAAATATGTAATGTTGATCTCTAATTGATCCTGGGTTGATCTGTTGCAGCTGTGTTGGAAGTAATCCAACTGAAGGTCCAGGCCCAGATAGCAGCTCAGCAACAAGCAAGCACTGCAGCCAAGTCATAGGCCGATGCCTAGACACACACTCAAGCTTCAGGTCTCGCTGACATCCACCCCTTGTGACAATTACATCATTGACATATGTGACATCGGACCATTGCTCACTGACGGGATAAGCTAGTGGTTGTTTTGAAAGCATACTAACAGTCCCTCACTGACATTTCTCTTTCCATCCTCTTTAGTGCAGGGGATTTTCCTTAACCCCCATGTTCTCATGAACATGTACAATGTTGGGTCATGGAATGTGTCTATGGATGTGTTTGTGTCGTCAGCTTTTTGTACAACTGAGATTGAAGTTATAAGGTATATGAATATGAAATGTACTTGTTCAGGTCAACCCAGAATATGTTTAGATTATAAAAAATATTGTATTGCTTCCACATTGGGAAAATATTTGTAAACTCGAAGAGCATTAGGTTTATTTAATGGTTGATCAGTCAACTCTTTAAGTGCTGGCTCTTATTCTGAAACATTTTGAAGGAAGAAATGAAATGTGTTACATATATGTATGACAATGAATAAACTAAATTAAATAATGTTTTAGCTTTTTATTAACGTTTCAGATATGTGAGTAAGTGGATTCCGTCTTACACATTAAACAATATAGCAGCTATGTCTCAACAACGTGTAAAGTGTCGGCTCTATGTGGGAGGAAAACCTGAAGTGATGCAGGCCTCAGGCGTGTACATCTTTGGTGAAACCCATGAGCACAGGTGTGGTGCTGACAACCCTAGAAACAATATCTGGGTGAACCGGGATTCGAACCCCCAATTCTGCACAGTGAATTGCGGCGTCTTACACGACAGGGCCAGCCGTACGGCCACAGTTTGTGGCACTCATACTTTGTGTACCACGTATATATTACTGCTAAATGATTGAAGACGACACGCGCATTCACAACTCAAGCGACCATGGCAGTCAAAGTCGGTGCATATTTATCTGCAGAGTTATGTCCCGTTGTCAGTCAAGATTTTAATGGGATCGTGTTGTTTTATCAGCTACCTGCTGTATATTTATTTCATTGGCTAACATGTATATACTAAGGCAAGACGACTTTACTTGAACGTGTGACGAAACAGACCGAACCGACCTCAAACATTTGTTTTGTTGTTTATTCCGCACTCGGCAATATTCCAGCAATGTGATGTCGGTCTGTAAATAAACAGTCTTGGCCAGACCATTCAGCAATTGACAGCTTGATCATCGATGTACACAGTTGGGATACGAACACATGCATCAACCGATGACTTCCCGATCCCGTTAGTTGCCTCATACGACAGGCTTGGGTTTCTGATCAAACAAGAACACCCCCCCACCACCACCAAATTTGAAAAGAACAATTGTTTGTACAGTCGATTACGAACTAACATGAAAAACAAAAATGCACACCAACCCTTAGACGACTGCCAAGTTGTCAATATATTTATAAGAACGTCCTAGGAAATAAATGTTGAGGGTCTATTTTCGCTTTTCCTCACACACCAACCAGGCTTATTCGAAGAATATCTGTAAAGCAAGAAATCAAAGAAAACCCTAGCCTAAGGCATCGTTGTGTAAAGAGGGTGCTATTCCGTGAATTGCCACACAGTGTAGTGGGGGCGTGCTCGCATGCGATTTACGTATAGCCAGAAAACCGGTTGACGTTACGTGGCCTGTCCCCCAGGGCAGCCACGATGCAGTAGTTGCAGCTCGGCCGGGTGCGATGACACCCAGGATCAATCAGATGACAAACGTAATGATCTGCTCACCCATTGACGTCATCACACTCGGATTTTATTCTGACCAATCCCCGAGTTAGTCACATTTCCCCATCAGTGTAGGTTCAGGGACTATGTTTCTATCTACACTGGGCTCACGTACAACGAAAAATGCATTTCAAACGTATTTTGGCTGCATAAAACGATTTCAATATTTCTCAGGCACATTTTTCTTAAAAGTAAGGAAGGCGGTAGCATTTTATTTTATTTTTTTTATTGAAAACAAAAGTGAGGGGGGAAGAATTTTTTTTTTCCCCGAACAAAATTATCAATAAACACAACTGGACACACACTGATCTTGGTTCTTTAATACAATGTCAGTTGTCAAGCATAAATAATAGGAGTCTGCTCCATATGACGAGATCAATTTATTATTCAATATTGGCAATACAAAATGACTCACACGCCGATGCCCGATACATTTCCCTGTTTTAGCCTAAGGAAGTCTATTTTGTATATCTTACTTCACTTGAAGGGAATACTGTTAATGGATTTCAAGAGATTTTAGTGAAATTACAGAAGTCTCATTTGGAGTAGTTATATATCGTCTTTTTTGGTTAAAATTTGAACCCATGCGTCAGTGAGGTATTATATTTGTTTGTTTGTTTGCTTCTTGTTTTACGCCGCACTCAGCAATGTTCCAGCTATATGACGGCGGTCTGTGTAAATAATCGAGTCTAGACCAGACAATCCAGTGATTGATGAGGTATAGGACAGTGCCTACTCACATGGGATGTCTTTCCTGTGTGCACATTTACATATGGGTGGATGTCTTTTGTAAATAAATGAAATAAAAAAGTACGCGCATGGGTATGTTCTCTGTTGATATTTAGTTTATTTGGTCGTTGATGGTTTACGAAAGAAAGCACACTTTGGTTCCAATTAAACGTTGAAATCAAAACACTCAGAGAAATATAATGCTAAATTTGATTAATGTCACAAAATTTGGATACGGGTAGACTATGAAAAAATCATAAACGAAAATAATAGCAACAAAAACAAGCACCGTGAATAGTTTATGAAGAAAAATGAAAACTCTACAGCACCCCTGAACATTTTTTATGGTTGGATAAAAGTTTACTTTCAACTCCCTATCACGAGTCAAGAGAGTGTACGTTATGTATGGAGACTAGGTCCTCTATGGTCCTAGAGCTGAGATCATTGTGTGTTACGAGGTGATCGAGGACACTCTCCAAACCGGTGCTCATTGCTGTCTACTTTGCGTAATGCGAAGTCATCACTGCGCCGGAGCCTCGGTTCCACATAGGATCGCGACTGTATGACGTCAGCACTGTCGAACTCCGTTGACCTTTTACACTGTGACGTCATAATACCGGGACAACGAACCTTGCAAGGAAGGTAAGATTTTTGGCTCCGCCAAATCATCCAATTATTGAGTACAATGTGCTGATATTGGATGTGAAAAATATCCTCTACGTGTTTGCCCGCCACCTGACGACATGGAAGGTTTCTGAGGTCTTCGTGTGCTCTTAAAGCAATTTATGCACAAACCGTTCAGACGATTTATTCTGAAACGTTTTCGCGCCAACTTGATGACTATACATGCAATGTAGAAACGTCCTCAAATAGAATATTTTGCCGTACCCTATATTTATAACACCGATTATATTTTTATTTTGCAATTTATCGATTAGTTTTGTATTTAAGATGGGCATGCATATCTACAAAAGTTGTGTCTATGTCTTTTTATACCATTCTCTTTAATATTTTGGAAACCAAGTGTAGTTATCAAGGGGATTGACCGGCACAGTATATTTATCTCGCCGACCTCTAGATGGGCGTGTAATAAAAACCCAAATAAGTCTAGGACCAACTACAGCTTATGATTTCTTCCCATCACGTTTAAATTCCATTTGAATTACTAAACTTAAATATAAGCCTTACTTTCTCGTCACAACTCCGGAGGAAATAATGAAATATGGACAGAGTCTACCGTTCATTGACTTTTTCACGCTTTGTTTCTACTTGTGTGTGTTAAAATAAACACATGTTTCTTAATCCTATATTAGAAACATCAAGGCGATGAGATGACTGGCATAATAATATATACACCTTGTAAAAAGTAATATGGCTGGGCAATTTTGTGTAAAAATAAAATGGTTAAATGAAGACTTGGGTTAGGAATAGATTTGCAACCACATGACCCAAACCATGTTTGATATGTTGTCAATTTGTGCCGAAAAAAGCAAATGTATTGATTTTTAAAGATAAGATGTCTAAGATACCCATCGGCTGTTGTGTATTATGCAAAGAGATTAAAGCATCAGTACAGTTCATATTTTATACATAATATCGCAAAGTTAAGATATTTTAAATAGAAAATAAAACCATCTCGAAATATTCTTTGAATACTGTTAATTCTTTTAAAAATAATATCGCAAATATTTTTAATTGAAAATCACACATATGATAAAATCAACCTAGAGGTATAGTTTCTTTTGCCCCTCAGTGTACAATAAGCCGTGATGTGTCGTTGATACAAAGCGCTCTGTGGTTCCTATTTAGACCCCTTCTAAAAGACAAAGCCCCAGAATACAACCCTGTAATTACCCTGTCGCCTTGCAACAGTTTTTTTCAGGGACATGGACACTTTGCTGAGTCTTAGTGACAACGAAATCGAGGACATCAGTCTCGACAACGAACTAGTATTGTTCGACCGCATAAAGAAGTACTACTCCCCAACCAGTGACCTACGCGTCTCCTATCTGCTAGGGGAAGCCGTCGTAGGATCGTCGTACGACTGGGTGGGTCTGTTCCGGCCTGGCTGGGCATCAACCAGCTCCTACATCAATTACCAATGGGCACCGATAAAAGATGTCAGTGCACGTGCACCGAGAAGACGCAGGGTTGTTGTACCCCGGTCCTCCTGGGTAAGTGAGTGAGTGAGTTAGTGAGTGAGTTTGGATCAACGCCGCTTTCAACAGTATTTCATTTCCGAGTCCCCTGGCTGCATTGGTGTACCATTTTACCCTTACAGCCGACTTTGTGGCGTTGAAGTCCGCCCACACATATCTAGTGAGTCGGTATGCTAGGTGAGTGAGTGAGTATGGTTTTACGCCGCGTTAAAGGGGAAGTGTACACGCAAAAATCACTTTCTTTCTTTTTCTAAACAAAACGCAATTTTAGAATTAGTTAGTATCTGTGTTTGAAAATATACGCTCATTTTTTTTCACAGTGAAAGTAGGAAGCTCACAATAGTGTTAAAATGATATGCCGTTATGAGGCCTTCGTTTGACGAGCGAAATAGGCCTGAGTTATCCCCCTTAGATTATGACGTAATTGGTGCCAATTCAACTGGGTCCCTGTCTATTCTCAACGCAAAAGATATCAAGGACCAGTTTGCGGTAAAACAACATGGTCTACGACACACTCCGGCGCAGTGGTGACTCAGCATAACACAATTCTGGCTGGCATCTGAGACGCTAGAATCACAAAACTGTACCTACACCACGTGAAGCGGCTCTAACAAAGCATGATGACGTCATAATGTTTATCAATTGGCACCAATGACGTCATATTGCAAGGGGCATAAGCCATGGTGTTTTTGTTATGGAAATAGAACACTTGGTAAATGTGAAAAATATAAATCGTTTTAATGCAAAAAATATGTTAATTAAATATGATGTTTTTATATTTTTGTCTATGACACTTCTATGTTAACACTTTTAATGTGGAAAAAGTACAAGAAAAATTGGTTCATTTCCGTGTGAACTTGCCCTTTAAGCAATATTCCAGCAATGTCACGGAGGGGGACACCAGAAATGGGCTTCACACATTGTACCCATGTCGGTAATCGAACCCGAGTCTTCGGCGTGACGAGCGAACGCTTCAACCACTAGGCTACCCGACCGCTCCTCAGAATGCTAGGTAGCAACGGCAAAAACTCAGCCATGTAGCGGATTTGGCAGTCGCTCAGATCATGTGGATACATAGCTGCGATTACCGTACCCTGTCATCCGTTCATCGTTTTCTTTCCGATTTTCCATATGTCACAACACGGGTGTACGAATCGTCTCGTTAGAAAAATCTGGCAATGTGTGCTGTGGAATTTACAGCACGCTTCTACATTTCTGACTTCCTATAATAAATTTGTTTAATATTTTCTATATACCAATCTCTTCATTAATCAAACACTTCAAATACTTTGTTTTGATCTGATGAAGATATACAGTAGCCGCAGCTAGGGGATTCAAGATTATGTCGTCACCTAAAGGTTCTTCATATTCCACGGATTTGTTTCAGTCAAGTTACAAAAATGAAGACAAATTCCAACTCCTCTACGTCACTGCCACTGGAGACGTCGTAGGCGTCAGTTGTTCATTCCGTATCGGTGAACCCGAAGAACCGGATCTTAACTTTGACCTCCTCGAGCGCCCCCTACATGAAGCGTCATCCTTGTCAGTGGTTGAATCCTTCAGCAACAACTTTGTAGGCAAGTTCATTTTTGTATTGTCACGTGTCGATTGCTAAATTGTAACAATATGTTAAACCAGAAAAGAACTTAGTGTGAAACCAACAAATAACCAACAAATGGTATTACAATCAACACCTGTTATACACACTTAATTGGTTTACAAATCAATACACATTCCTGCACAACAATTACAATGGAAGTATCGGGTGGTCAGGCTCGCTGACTTGGTTGATGCATGTCACTGATCCCAATCGCGTGGATCGATTCTTATGATATCAACCACTGGATTGTCTGGTCCAGACTCGATTATTTACAGACCGCCGTCATAGAGCAGGGATATTGCTGAGTGCGGCGTTAAACAACCAACAAAGAGAACGAAAGTATGCAATAGAGTGGAAGTGCAATATTCAATGGCAGTATCAAATACAATATATGTGGTGATACAGTGGTGATAGCAAAAGGTTCAGTGATAATAATATTCACCTTTCCGCAGCCCAGGCTTGGAATCCGGGGTGATAAGTGATCTTCACGCAAAAGCTGGTCATGATGTAACTAGAGCTGAATTGTGAGATGAGACAGGGACGCGGCCGCTCGACTTATATAGTCCAAACAGTTTCCAGCACTCTCCACATAGTGCTTGACCAGTCTAGTGTCACTAGAAGGTCGCTAGAACTTCGCAGAATATTCCACACGTTTCTAAAACGCTTGACATCCATACTATTCCGGAAGTTTACAGAAAAATCGAGCATCTAAATATAATAACTTCCAAACCACTGTTTACATTAAATACATTCGTGACAACTAATCATTTTCGAAATTCAATGCAATGATCTTCTCGGTTATACAGTTTATGTTAGCTACAATCTTTTTATAACAATTAATTACACATCCATATAACACTAAGGTAATGAAACGGTCTTAAGATGATAAGAAATCAGCATGAGTTACGCTCTGGGTGAGTTAAACGCCTATTTGAACAGTCAGTATTATATTATACCAGAGTGTGTGTCTCAAATGGCAGGAGCGCCAGACGTTGTGAAGGTTGTAGATGTTTACCACTTGGCTAGAACCCAGACGCACTGGTTGGAGCTGACAAACCAAGGATCATAATCAGGGCTAATCTGAGATTCGAACCCTCGATCAGCCAATCGTTGTACGGCAAAGAGGCACAAACATTTCTCTGGAACACGTGGTTGACAATAGACAGACAGACAGACAGAATTTTATTCAGTAAAGAAGGCCACATGACCCATAGTTACAATATATTTTGGATGCGCTCTATTAGCTAATAAACCTCAATATAAATATAGAAACAGATAGCATACTGACAGTGATGGGATTATATAAAGTGTTATATAAATCAGACAAACTAAGATTTTCCAGATTTTAAGATTTTTTGACAATAGTAACTATTATGTTTTCAAGAACCACTGGATTATCCTCAGTACAAAAAGATACAATAACCTGTACACAGGCGGAATAACTGCTACGCTGCATTAAATAGAAACTCATTTTATGAAATGACCTAGAAATGTACAGATTGCAGCGGAAATGTGAATGGGTTTTTATCCGCTTTCATAGCCTCTGATATTATCTCGCTATGTCAGCCAATGTTGGAAGGTCTTTGATGTTTGGTACTTTGATGTAAGCAATGAGCATTGGACAAACCAAGAATCTTCATCGAGTCTTAGATTCGAACCAGGACCCATGGATCCGACATTGACTGACTCACTAGTCGTCAGAACTCTGTTCAGCGTAATACGTTCCCGTAAAGCACCAGGCCTTTAATATAGTGACATGCCATACATGGTGCTTTATTCATTTCTTACAGTGCCCACTCATGTATATTACAGTCAGTTATTAATGTAAGCTTCCTTTTTTCGTCAGACTTGGAAACCATAAGCTTACTGAGTGAGTCGGACTCAGGACACAGCTCCCCTTCCAACCTAGAGGATGTGGATACGCCTGTGAAGATCGCTTTGGACAGCAACACCTTGTCCGGAGACTTTACAGGGAAGAGCTGGTTTGAAGAACTAGGACTCCTCCCTGAAAACACCATTGTGAAGGAGTACGAACCAGTTGATGATCAGTCATTGGTACCTTACATGCCGGTTCTTCTGAAAGATTTCTCTGGATCCCCCAAAACCTACCAGCCCTTAGCTGACGTCAATGATCGACGATCCTATTCCATATTTTTCGACGAAGATGTTGACGAGGAGGCGACGTCCCTTTTCTTCGAGAGCGATGAGCTTAAGGCACCAAATCAAGACAAGGAGATTCCTCTTCCTAAGACAGCAAAGCCTGAGTATCCCCCAGTAGAGGGGGCTATCGAGAAGCTGTATAAGGAACTAGTTCCACAGGTTCTTCAGGACAAGGAGTCCTCCGTCATCCCGGAAGAAGAATGTATTCCATTGCTGTCCGATGATGACCTAACGTTTTCAGATGTGCCCCTAGATTCCACTAAGTCAAGGTCCGAACTTGGAATTAGTGGCTGCCTGCCTAATCTGTTTTCCAGCAACGATGCCTTTGCTAAAGTCGTGCCACTGTACAGTGTTGACGAAGGCAAAAGTGCCGTCGCAGTATTTAACGCAGAGAAGAAGAAGAGGGTAGGCGAACATGCTCCAGAGGTCATAACAACGTAACTGTTAATGTCAGATGCCCCGTTTCAGAAAGCGACCATAGTGATTCGACTGTTGTAACATATACTTTAACATAAGCAAAGGATATATAATATGTTATATACTAGTATGTTCTTGCATGGGTCGATCACGGTCGAAGTGTTCACGTTTTCTGATGGGTGTTAGGGGTAGGGGTGTGTGGGGGTGGGTGGTTTGGGTTGGGTATGGGTGTGTCTCGACTATCTCTGATGGTCATTGATAACTGTGGACATACCATTCACAGGAATCTTCGCTTTTATAAACTGAACAATTTCAGTGAAAGTGAGTAGGTTTTACGCCGCTTATAGCAATATTCCAGCAATATCACGGCGGGGGACACCAGAAATGGGCTTCACACATTGTACCCATGTCGGGAATCGAACCCGGGTCTTCGGCGTGACGAGCTAACGCTTTAACCACTAGGCTACCCGACCGCCCCCCCCAAATAGAGAGTCTAAAAATGAGATTACGATCCCAATCCAGATAAATCTTTCAAAAGACCAAATTGCGAGTGTTGCCACGTACCAAAACATATGGTTATGGTCATTTCAACATTCATTCTGGCCCATTGCTATGGAACAATCTGCCACAAGAAATCAGAGAGACAGAAAACCTAACAAACTTTGGTAAGACACTCAAAACCTGTCTCTTCAAGAGAGTTTTTGACTAGATCGATCAGAGTCAAAGCGCATTTGCGCAACTGTTAATTGGAAAATGTGCTGTACAGATTCTTAATTTAATTTTATATTAACTTAAATTTTACATCAATTCAATTAATGTTAATGTGTGACATGTGTATGATTGTCCGTATCAGTATCCGTTGTAAGTTTGTCCATCCAGAGTATCCTGCCACGGTAAACTCTTGTTGAGCTGAAGAAAGTACTGTGACAATCCACACTCGTTAATGACTATGGTAGTTTTATCATATCAATGCAAACTATGTTAATATTAGGGCACAATCTGACACAGACATCATTAACGATGGAAATGTGAACATTGTTTAACTGACCACCCTTATGTAGAAAAGGGAATTCGCACATAATACGTCGTATGTTTTAATCAGGAAAAACAAGAGAAGATACAGAAGGCCATACAGATCCTCCAGGGCCTCATCAATCTCATCCCAGGCTCCACCGCTGCCCCGCCACGACCTCTCGGCTGCGCACCTGACTGCACCGGATGTGTCATCAGTCAGGGAGTCCTGAGTCACTACCGCCAGCGGTTCCTGGCAGCAGAGGAGAACGTGCAGAAACTCAAGGAAGAGGTAGAGACTCTCCAGAAGAGCTTGGATGAAAAGGTGAGGCAAGTTACCTTCTCGGTCTGTTTGTTTATTGTTTAACGCCGCACTCAGAAGTATTCGAGCTATATGACGGCGGTTTGTGAAATATCGAACCTGATCCAGGAAAACCAATAATTGATATTATGTGCAACCCCTAACCGTCTGGGTACGATGGCAACCAAGTCCTGACCAGACCTCGCGGATTGCTGGTGACCTACTCTAGGCCGGAATCCCCTCGCGATCCCTGTTATTCGTTGTTAGTCTATGTTAAAGTTACTCTAACCTGGAATACATTTTTTTTTTTTTGTAATTTGTTTTGTCATATGAATTCCAGCTGTATGACGGCGGCCTGTAAATAATTGAGCCTGAACCAGACAATTCTGCGATTGACATCATGAGCATCGATCGTAGACATCTGGGTGCGATGACAGGTTATAAACCAAGTCAGCGAGCCTGACAACCCCACCCATTTAGTGACTTCATGCAACAAACAAAGTCAGGGAGCCACCCGATCCATTGAGTCACTGGGAACCTACATGCCTGCCCGGATTCTGTCACGGGTTCTGTCATTTTGGATTTCGGGCCAGAATAAGGCCAAAATTAGGATCACAATGTTTGACCTGGACTGTTTTAATCTTATCCTTATCAAAGCTTTTGGAATGCGGCAATCGTAGCATTAAGGTTGCTTTATGGGGAGTCCTGACTCATTGTGTATCGTCGTACTCCGGACATCGATATATTTGGCGGGTGCTCATGCTTTCAATCATCAGTTTGTCTGGTCCAGATTCGATCATTTACAGACTAACGAAATATGGTTAGGATATTGCTGATTGAGGCGTAAATCAACTTGCATTCTCTCACTCGATAAAAACTGATCCACCGGAGGCATACCGAATATTTCCCAAATCCGCTCATAAATGCCCCCGTTTTTTGTTGTTGAAAGGATGCAACAAAGAGCAGCGCGAAGGACCTCCCCAGCCCAATCCTCATGAGTTCGTTGTCCAATGTCATGGGCATGGTGAGAAATGTTCAGAAGACAAACGAAACGAACGCACTCCTCGACCAGGCACTGGCGGTTACCCTGGCTGAGAAACATCAGCTGGAGAAAGGTCAGGTTACATCGACCTCGGCACCCCAGGTAGGAATAATACCCCAGGGTTCCATCCAACAAAGGGGTCGTAGCGCTACTAAGAAAGTTACGATCGTCTTAACGCTAATGTCATTTGTGAAAGACAATATGGTCTCGTTACGTTTGCGTTTTTCAGACAAAGCCGCAGTGAGTTAGTGTATGTATTTTTACAGGGGCACATGTGGGTCAATGGACTAGGGTGCAGCCCATCGATGTGTAGATGTGGTCAAATAGCCTGTGTAGAGACGGCCCGATTTAGTCGCTGTTTATAGCTGTACCCCTTACTCATATCATGATCAGCTGTTTATGGGTTCGAATCCCCAAATGGGTCCTGATAATGGCGTGACCTGCGTCACTATCTACATCGGCTCCCACAGTAGTGGGTAATTTTGGTTCAACGCCGCTTTGAATACTATTCCAGTTATATCACGGCGTGTCAGCTTTATGTTGAAGGAAAGCCCGAAGTGATGCAGTGATAGCCAAATAGTCTGCGTAGAGGTGTCCAGATAGATTAGGGCGCCGCCAATCGCTGTATAGAGGTGTCCAGATAGATTAGGGCGCCGCCAATCGCTGTGTAGAGGTGTCAAGATAGATTAGGGCGCCGCCAATCGCGGTGTAGAGGTGTCCAGATAGATTAGGGCGCCGCCAATCGCTGTGTAGTGGTGTCCAGATAGATTAGGGCGCCGCCAATCGCTGTGTAGTGGTCGCCAAATAGATAAGGGCGCCGCCAATCGCTGTGTAGAGGTGTCCAGATAGATTAGGGCGCCGCCATTCGCCGTGTAGAGGTGTCCAAATAGATAAGGGCGCCGCCAATTGCTGTGTAGAGGTGTCCAGATAGATTAGGGCGCCGCCAATCGCTGTGTAGTGGTGGCCAAATAGATTAGGGCGCCGCCAATCGCTGTGTAGAAGCGTCCAGATAGATTAGGGCGCCGCCAATATCTGTGTTGAGGTTGCCAAATAGATTAGGGCGCCGCCAATCGCCGTGTGGAGGTGTCCAGATAGACTAGGGCCCCGCCAATCGCGATGTAGAGGTGGCCAGATAGATAAGGGCGCCGCCAGTCGCTGTGCAGAGGTGTCCAGATAGATCAGGGCGCCGCCAATTGCTGTGTAGAGGTGGCCAAATAGATCAGGGCGCCGCCAATCGCTGTATAGAGGTGTCCAGATAGATTAGGGCGCCGCCAATCGCTGTGCAGAGGTGTCCAGATAGATGAGGGCGCCGCCAATTGCTGTGTGGAGGTGGCCAAATCAATAAGGGCGCCGCCAATCGCTGTATAGAGGTGTCCAGATAGATCAGGGCGCCGCCAATCGCTGTGTAGAGGTGTCCAGATAGATTAGGCTGCCGCCAATCGCGGTGTAGAGGTGTCCAGATAGATTAGGGGGCCGCCAATCGCTGTGTAGAGGTGTCCAGATAGATTAGGGCGCCGCCAATCGCTGTATAGAGGTGTCCAGATAGATTAGGGCGTCGCCAATCGCTGTGTAGAGGTGTCCAGATAGATTAGGGCGCCGCCAATCGCTGTGTAGTGGTAGCCAAATAGATAAGGGCGCCGCCAATCGCTGTGTAGAGGTGTCCAGATAGATTAGGGCACCGCCATCCGCTGTGTAGAGGTGTCCAAATAGATTAGGGCGCCGCCAATTGCTGTGTAGAGGTGTCCAGATAGATTAGGGCGCCGCCAATCGCTGTGTAGTGGTGGCCAAATAGATAAGGGCGCCGCCAATCGCTGTGTAGGGGCGTCCAGATGGATTAGGGCGCCGCCAATCGCTGTGTAGATGTGTCCAAATAGATTAGGGCGCCGCTAATCAAAGTCAAAGTCAAAGACGTTTATTGTATCAAAGGCCATCGGCCCATATACAAGTTAAGATAAATACAGTTGGTGAGAATTTAGATAGATTAGGCGCCGCCAATCGCTGTGTAGAGGTGTCCAGATAGATAAGGGCGCCGCCAATTGCTGTGTTGAGGTGGCCAAATAGATCAGGGCGCCGCCAATTGCTGTGTAGAGGTGGCCAAAAAGATTAGGGCGCCGCCAATTGCTGTGTAGAGGTGTCCCGATAGATTAGGGCGCCGCCAATGACTGTGTAAAGGTGGCCAATAGGTGATGCCGGTTTTAGACGTTGACCACTTACATGAAAACCGAGAGAACGAGCTAGAGTGCTGACAAACCAAGAAACATAATCAGGGCCTCCCACATTTAGCTGATACTGCGTGGTGTTACTTAAATATTGCTTAAGACGGCGTTTAGGTCCACTCACTCAGTCGGCTCTTACAACATACTTTAAGCACTAGGTACCTCTAAAGAAGATATATTATTTTCACCTGACAAAATCGACGAGCACAGATATAATGATGGTGTCCTGGCAATTGCTTTGCAAGAATCTTGGTATCTTTTTTTCTCAGAATGCATCCGAGAAAGGTCAACAGACTGAGGTGAAGGTCGTTAGAGATGAGTCCAAAGAATGCGTTGATCCGCCACAGGGTAAGTATTCTACCCTATCATAATGCATACAGCAGCCTTCTATGATACTTTTTGTATATCACTTTTTGTACTGAACACACGTGCAGCACAGCAAAATATCACTTTCTGAACGCAGGTGCAGCAAAATATCACTTTCTGAACGCAGGTGTAGCAAAATATCACTTTCTGAACGCAGTTGTAGCAAAATATCTCTTTCTGAACGCAGGTGTAGCAAAATATCACTTTGTGAACGCAGGTGCAGCAAAATATCACTTTCTGAAAGCAGGTGTAGCAAAATATCACTTTGTGAACGCACATATTGTATATGACGACTTTGTGTATTGAACGCAGGTGCAGCAAAATATCACTTTCTGAACGCAGGTGTAGCAAAATATCACTTTGTGAACGCAGGTGTAGCAAAATATCACTTTCTGAACGCACATATTGTAAATGGTCACTTTGTGTATTGAACGCACGTGCAGCAAAATATCACTTTCTGAACGCAGGTGTAGCAAAATATCACTTTCTGAACGCAGGTGTTGCAAAATATCACTTTCTGAACATACATATTGTAAATGGTCACTTTGTATATTGAACGCACGTGTAGCAAAATATCACTTTCTGATCGCAGGTGCAGCAAAATATCACTTTCTGAACATACATATTGTAAATGGTCACTTTGTTTATTGAACGCACGTGCAGCAAAATATCACTTTCTGAATATACATATTGTAAATGGTCACTTTGTATATTGAACGCACGTGCAGCAACATATCACTTTCTGAACGCAGGTGTAGCAAAATATCACTTTCTGAACGCAGGTGTAGCAAAATATCACTTTGTGAACGCACATACTGTAAATGGTCACTTTGTGTATTGAACGCACGTGCAGCAAAATATCACTTTCTGAACGCAGGTGTAGCAAAATATCACTTTCTGAACGCAGGTGCAGCAAAATATCACTTTCTGAAAGCAGGTGTAGCAAAATATCACTTTGTGAACGCACATATTGTATATGACGACTTTGTGTATTGAACGCAGGTGCAGCAAAATATCACTTTCTGAACGCAGGTGTAGCAAAATATCACTTTGTGAACGCAGGTGTAGCAAAATATCACTTTCTGAACGCACATATTGTAAATGGTCACTTTGTGTATTGAACGCACGTGCAGCAAAATATCACTTTCTGAACGCAGGTGTAGCAAAATATCACTTTCTGAACGCAGGTGTTGCAAAATATCACTTTCTGAACATACATATTGTAAATGGTCACTTTGTATATTGAACGCACGTGTAGCAAAATATCACTTTCTGATCGCAGGTGCAGCAAAATATCACTTTCTGAACATACATATTGTAAATGGTCACTTTGTATATTGAACGCACGTGCAGCAACATATCACTTTCTGAACGCAGGTGTAGCAAAATATCACTTTCTGAACGCAGGTGTAGCAAAATATCACTTTGTGAACGCACATACTGTAAATGGTCACTTTGTGTATTGAACGCACGTGCAGCAAAATATCACTTTCTGAACGCAGGTGCGGCAAAATATCACTTTCTGAACGGAGGTGTAGCAAAATATCACTTTCTGAACATACATATTGTAAATGGTCACTTTGTATATTGAACGCACGTGTAGCAAAATATCACTTTCTGAACGCAGGTGCAGCAAAATATCACTTTCTGAACATACATATTGTAAATGGTCACTTTGTATATTGAACGCACGTGCAGCAACATATCACTTTCTGAACGCAGGTGTAGCAAAATATCACTTTCTGAACGCAGGTGTAGCAAAATATCACTTTGTGAACGCACATACTGTAAATGGTCACTTTGTGTATTGAACGCACGTGCAGCAAAATATCACTTTCTGAACGCAGGTGCGGCAAAATATCACTTTCTGAACGGAGGTGTAGCAAAATATCGCTTTCTGAACATACATATTGTAAATGGTCACTTTGTATAATGAACGCACGTGTAGCAAAATATCACTTTCTGAACGGAGGTGTAGCAAAATATCGCTTTCTGAACATACATATTGTAAATGGTCACTTTGTATAATGAACGCACGTGTAGCAAAATATCACTTTCTGAACGCAGGTGCAGCAAAAAAACACTTTCTGAACGCAGGTGTAGCAAAATATCACTTTCTAAACATACATATTGTAAATGGTCACTTTGTATATTGAACGCACGTGTAGCAAAATATCACTTTCTGAACGCAGGTGCAGCAAAATATCACTTTTTGAACATACATATTGTAAATGGTCACTGTGTATTGAACGCACGTATAGCAAAATATCACTTTGTTTACTGAACACACGCGTAGCAAACATCACAACATGCACTAAACGCACGTACCGTTCACATTCATGTTACACGTACTGTATTCATCACGTGTATACGTATATAGGTGTATCTGACAAGAACTTTCAGTTGTTTTTTTGATGGAGTATGTGTCGTTACCATAGATACAACATTCCACTTTGAGGACGAAGAGCAGGACGGATGGAGCCTAAAGAATTCAAAGAAAATCGGTAAGCGAACATGAGCAGTTCATGCAATTAACGCCCAAACCCATGGATGCCTGATGACCGTTTGAAGTAGAAATGGTAAACAGTTTACACTGGTGTATATTGAGGAATCCTTTCACGTCGTCTCTGGCTATCTATGGATGCAATGATGTATATATTTTGATGCAGACACCATGGTAGGGGCATCGAGAAGGGGCTTCAAGAACTTGAAATGTAAGCTATGTAATTTCGTTTCTTGTCTTTCCTGGAGTGAGTGAGTTTGGTTTTACGCCGCTTTTAGCAATATTCCAGCAATATCACGGCGGGGGACACCAGAAATGGGCTTCACACATTGTACCAATGTCGGGAATCGAACCCGGGTCTTCGGCGTGTCGAGCGAACGCTTTAACCACTAGGCTACCCGACCGCCCCGTCTTTCCTGGAAGGCCTTGTTATATATATATGCCAGGCCTTCACTCACAACGGGTCCTGGGGGTAGAGGACTGGGCATGCTGGCCTTACATGATCTGATCTGTTGGCATTATTTTAATGGGGGCTATTTAAATGTAGGTTACTACAAATGTGTCGGTTTCCTTTTGACACGGAGGAAGGGAAGATTATGGCGATATCATGATAGCTTTGACATTTTATTGTACCTTCTGAATTGTAGACCGTCTGAAGAAGGCAGTAGCTCGCAAGGAGGAGGACCTGAAGGCTCTGCAGGACAAGGTGTCGGGGAAGCAGGTCCAGATCATCATGGTCCAGGACACTGTCAAGGAACTGAGGAAGAACGTCAGGGTACGTTATCAGGCAGTGAATCACATTCACAATTAATGTAAGGCTAAAACCTTTAGTTACCATACAGTGTTTATCATGGATATGGATTGTTTCAGGTGCCAAACTGAGGACTTCAATACTTTTATAACAATACGCTTATTAACTATTTAGGTTCGTTTTGGCATCATTATTGCATTTAAATTTTATCTTCGAAGCACCTACGAAATATCACGCTAAATATGCGTTCCATATTTCTCGCGTGGCTTAGTTGTATAAGGCGCAAGAACTCGCTGTGTCCCTTAGGTGTGCCAGAAACCCACGATCGTGAGTTCCAATCCCATGTTCGCCCTCATGTTTGTTGTCAGCACCATTCCCATGTTCGTGGTGTTACCACCAAAGTAGTACGCGACCTGCATCTCTTGGAACGTTCATCCCGCATCGAACTGAAACGCTAACACAACTGATATATTGTTCAAAGCTGCGTTAAACCAAATTCACTCACTCATTCCTAGATAGCCTTTCCCATACTACTCTGTCATTATATATTCGTTAAGGCCCCGTAATAAATACACAATGTTGTTTCCAGGAGGAGAGAAGACTGGCAAAAGCCGCACGCCAGGAGGTGCTGAAACTACGACGTCAAGTCAGTGCTCTGAAGTCCAATCGTAAGCGAGTAGCTTGGGGAGGTGACGTCACAAGCAGGGACGTCACCCAAACCGCCACCGTGGGGACTGAGTCACGTTTCCCAAGACGTCACACGTTCGCAGCTCAAGTCTACCCCAAGGCAAGGTTCACATCTGGAGTCTCAGCCTTCTACCCAGAACGCAAGGCTTTCAGACAAGACATGAATATGCAAATTAGGACTGGGAGATGCAAGACGTGCGGGATGAGGTTCTCGCCCACAGTTGACAGGAGGCTTATCGAGGAACATATCATATTTCACCTTCAGTTCCAAATGTAAATTGATACCCTGCCCACAAGTTGATCTCTGAAATCTGATTGGCTCGCACCGTCCTTGGATCATGCATTCTGATTAGCGACACTTTTTGTTATTTGGTTGCCATTGTGCCATTTATTTTAAGTGGCATTTACTGTTGGTGTTGGAATCAGTGGCTATTGTATTTTGTTATCTTTTTATAGCACGGTTTGTACTGTTTTATTACACAATTTTAACATTTGTTTTGTGATGTTTACACTATATTTAGAGTTAAGTGTTGAGTAATTTTGATATGCATCTATTGGTTATATTTTTAAATCTGTATTAATTTGATATTCTTTATGGTTTATATATGTTATACCTTTTGACGAATTGCACATATAAATGAATGAATATTTCAAGGGGTTTGTCTTCTTTATGTAACTATCATACAGAGTCTGTGATTTATTTCCATCATCAAACTCTGAAACATATTTTACACACACTGCCAGAAATAATAACTAACATTCCAAAGTATGACTTCAGATTATTTCCCACTGTTCATTAGGCCCCACTGACGAAAGCAATAGCGAGCTGAGAATCATTAGCGAATCGTAAGGGTTCGAGCTTCAACGGCGGAAAATATTTTAAGAACAGTTTATGACAAGATAGCACCCCCGGGATGTTAAATCGTATCTTCTCCGATTTTGAGATTTAAACAGCTTTGAGAACAGTGAGAAGACGTCACAGCAGGTTTATAAAAGATGGAGAAAGATGGACCGCCGCGGAGAAGCAGTGATGCCAGTGACGTGTACAGTTAGCATCACGTGACTCATAAGTGTCGCGTGGTCTCGATCATGATGACCTGACCCAGAAGTAGCCACACTGTGCCACTTCCCTGCCACGTGGGACGTACTTGTGTGTACACCGGGAACACTTGAGCCGGACGTACTTAGAAACAGTGGTAACTACAGCTAATGGATCTGCACTTTGTTTGGTGTGGTTCTTGTTCTTCCATTACAATGCACGTCCTTGTCATTAGACTTATAGAAATGTAGCATAGATTCATACTGAACTGACCCCAACAAGATAGCATTATAAGGGCATGAATACTGCACCAATGTGCAATCTGTTAGTCTTGGTCTTAAAGGTAAGACTTACTACTACAACTACAACTACTTCTACTACTACTACTACTACTACTACTACTACTACTACTACTACTACTTCTACTACTACTTCTACTACTACTACTACTACTACTACTACTACAATGCACGTCCTTGTCATTAGACTTATAGAAATGTAGAATAGATTCAGACTGAACTGACCCCAACAAGATAGCATTATTAGGGCATGAATGCTGCACCAATCAGCCATCTGTTATTCTTGGTAGACTCGACTTCCCCATCAAACATATATAGCTGGAATATTGCTGTGCTACTACGTGAACACCATTGGTATATGGCTGGAATTTTGCAGTGTGACGACGTGAACACTTATGTATATAGCTGGAATATTGCGGTGTGACGACGTGAACACTTACGTATATAGCTGGAATATTGCAGTGTGACGACGTGAACACTTACGTATATAGCTGGAATATTGCTGTGCTACTACGTGAACACCATTGGTTTATGGCTGGAATATTGCAGTGTGACGACGTGAACACCATCCGTATATAGCCGTAATATTGCAGTGCTACTATGTGAACACCATCCGTATATAGCTGTAATATTGCAGTGCTACTATGTGAACACTTACGTATATAGCTGAAATACTGCGGTGCTACTACGTGAACACCATTGGTATATGGCTGTAATATTGCAGTGCTACTACGTGAACACTTACGTATATAGCTGGAACATTGCAGTGCTACTATGTGAACACCATCCGTATATAGCTGTAATATTGCAGTGCTACTGTGTGAACACTTACGTATATAGCTGAAATACTGCGGTGCTACTACGTGAACACCATTGGTATATGGCTGTAATATTGCAGTGCTACTACGTGAACACTTACGTATATAGCTGTAATGTTGCGGTGCTACTACGTGAACAGCATCCGTATATAGCTAGAATATTGCGGTGGTACTAGGCGAACACCATCCGTATATAGCTGGAGTATTGCGGTGCTACTTCGTGAACACCATCCGTATATAGCTGGAGTATTGCGTGCTACTTCGTGAACACCATCCGTATATAGCATGAATATTGCGGTGGTACTAGGCGAACACCATCCGTATATAGCTGGAGTATTGCGGTGCTACTTCGTGAACACCATCCGTATATAGCTGGAGTATTGCGTGCTACTTCGTGAACACCATCTGTATATAGCTGGAATATTGCGGTGGTACTACGTGAACACCATCCGTATATAGCTAGAGTATTGCGGTGCTACTACGCGAACACCATCTGTATATGATAAACACATCATAGTTAAGTGGTCGAGACATGACGGACAACTGACTGAATCCAGTCATCTAGTTCATGACTAAAAGGTATTCCCCAGTACTACCAAGTACCTTCATACACGGTGTCAGATGGCCCGGTAGATATACACTGTGTCAGATGGGCTGGTAGATATACACTGTGTCAGATGGGCTGGTAGATATACACTGTGTCAGATGGCCTGGTAGATATACACTGTGTCAGATGGCCTGGTAGATATACACTGTGTCAGATGGGCTGATAGATATACACTGTGTCAGATGGGCTGGTAGATATACACTGTGTCAGATGGGCTGGTAGATATACACTGTGTCAGATGGGCTGGTAGATATACACTGTGTCAGATGGGCTGGTAGATACGCAACGCAGGAGCAACCAATACACGAGATTCTACTCACAATGAGACGTATTGGCGTAACGGAAGGGAACTTGGCGCATCTCGACACACTTTAGGCAGATACTGACCTAATATAAACTTAACTGATGTGAAAGAATTTTGTTTGCCGCCGTAGTCAGCAATAGTGCACCTGCCAAACTAGTGGTTGATAGCATGAGCACCGCCCAGCGTCAAACGAATACACATGATGACACCTCCGTTTCCTACTATCCAACTCAAATGAATTTATTGTAAACAAAACATGCAATTTTATTATTTTAATCCGAATCTCAGTCGCAACACGTCGTGACCAGTGGATCCCTGTTGCAGACGGCTCGCACGACAACCAGGGAGTGATGGAGAGATATCCTGCCTGTAATCTAACACACCCGCACACACCGTCGGTACACACTCGCTGCATATAGTCCTATACGAAGTCCGAGATACTTACGAATGACCTCACGAACTCTCTGATGCGTACAGCGGTCCTTGCAAATCTCGATGTCTTGTTTGTTTGTTGTTTAACGCCGCACTCAGCAATATTCCATCTATATGAAGGCGGTCTGTAAATGACTGAGTCTGGACCAGACAATCCAGTGATTGATATCATGAGCATCGATCTATGCAATTGGGATACGATGACATTGATGAACCATGTCAGCGAAAGTGACCACCCGATGTCGTTAGTCGCCTCTTACGGCAAGCATGGGTTGCTGAAGAGCTGTGCAAATCTCGATGTACGCACTAAACGAACGTGCAAATGGTCGGACAAAAGAAAGCATACAGTTGACAATTGGATTTGACCTAAATATTACAAACGTTATCAAAACGTTACTATGCTGAAAACAGTCGCCGAAACACTGCAAGCCTAAGGTCGAAAACACAACTTTGATTCCCGTATCACATACAGGAAGTTGTGGCTGACTTTGTTTCATTTTTACCACCATCAGACATGGGCGTATACTTTCTTTTGCAAGTCAGTTGAGTAACCACACGCCATAATCAGCAATACAAATACCTAAGCACGCGAATACGACACCGTAATATTTATACACTATACTCAAATATCAGTGGAAAGATAATCACGTGATCACATTTACGTGTATCTCATTAATTTCTCTTAGAGTTTGAAAGGGCCTGTCCTCATCTGGCCTACACCTCATGTCGCGTACACTACTATCAAAACAAATTTATGGATGAGTGCACATCACACTTGTACTCTTATCCCTTAAGTAAAATGAACTCATCCAACAAGATAACAAAGAATGTGAATGACTTTTGATACTGTAATTTCATTTTGTATATGAGATCATCTTCACAACTCAAATGTTTTCACAACATCAAATATAATAAATTAATACACATGTATTATCATAGCACTGTACATTTATATCCATCATCTTCATGTTTTATAACATTAGCACTACATCATTACTTGCAAAATTACTGTAATTTGATGAAATTTCCAACTGCATCCAGAAACTGGATCGCTGATCTTCTGCCAGAAGCATGCTGCTGCTTCAGTCTCTCGATCCTTGCATCTCGGTCTCTGTCAACACGAGCACGAGGTCTCATGGCACCACCCAGTCCAATCTGCCTTCTTGACCGTCTATCTGCTGTCTCGATCTTCTTGAGTTCATTGACAAACTGGAAGATGTTGGGATGGGTTCTCGGCATTCTCTTCTTCAGGCTGTTGTGGAAACCTTCAAGATGGTTGTTGGAGCGTGGACTGGTGTTCTCATGTTGATTCCACAGGGCTCGAGGGAACGTGGCATGGAAGTCAACCTATGTGCTGGTGACGTAGTCGTTGAACCTGGAGATCTGCTGCCCATCTGGTCCTTGCTCCATCACTTCAATCCAGGCATCTTGGACTTCAGCTAGGGGTAGAAGCGGCAACGCTGCAGCTCTTCTGATGTGGGTCTGCACTGCTGGGTTGTTGGTGTAGTCTCGGGCCAGGCCTCTGTCCACAACTTGTCTCCACACAGCCTGGGGGTAGTGGAAAAAACATCCTCTGACGGAACTTGCTGGGAAGACATCGCGATTGGCACTGATGACAGCTGCTTCGTAGTCTGTCTGGATGATGTCTGGAGAGAGTTCTAAACCAGTCCTTGCGCCAACAACATCCTTCAGCAAGGTGAACAGTCGGACATAGGTCTGCTTGGTCTTGTTTGGGAGTAGGGAAAAGGCGACTGGGAACATCTTGCCATCCACAAGGCAATGGATAGTATACACCTACAGCCACAAGCTAGGGCATTGGAGATGAGGTGATCCTGTTAACATTGTGAAAGCTATTTCATTGATCAAAGTAAAGAGAAACAATAGCACTTACTAAGGTATATGAATTTTATATACACTTACAGAAATTTGGAGATGAGTAGACCTGTTAAAATGCTCAGATTGGATTATATCAGGTAAGGTAATGTATACACACTTACAAAACTTTTGAGATGAGTAGTCCTGTTACATGATCAAAGTGGATTATAACAGTAATCCTTCATAAACAGTCAAAACAAACTCAAGGATCAGATACCACTATGAAAACATCGGATTAGTTTAAAGGCCCATGTACTCAGGTCATTAATTCATATTA